GTCTAGTATCAATCACAATAAATTCTTTTTTCATTGTTAAATCATCTATAATTGGTACCAGATGATCTGAATAATGATTCAGAATATTTTTGAGATCAAACAAGGATCCTCCTCCTCTATGTATTGAAATATAGGTAACATTTTCTTGGATGGGTTTAGGAACTGCAAAGAATCTTTGGGATACATAAATTGGACTGACATTACTATGTCTAGCATGAGTAAAATATTGCGCAATTTTATCTTGGACCTTTTTAGATTCATGCATGAGATCCTCAAATATTATAACAGTAGAGCATTCAGGATTGAATTCATCTGTATCAGGAATCTCAGAAGGAGGTAATGCTTTGAATGATACATCTTCAGTTTCTGCAAGTTTGTTATAAAAATCTCAGACAATATTCCATTTTGGTTCATTTAGGAACTTACCGATTAAAATTACATCCTCCTCCTCTATGTATTGAAATATAGGTAACATTTTCTTGGATGGGTTTAGGAACTGCAAAGAATCTTTGGGATACATAAATTGGACTGACATTACTATGTCTAGCATGAGTAAAATATTGCGCAATTTTATCTTGGACCTTTTTAGATTCATGCATGAGATCCTCAAATATTATAACAGTAGATCATTCAGGATTGAATTCATCTGTATCAGGAATCTCAGAAGGAGGTAATGCTTTGAATGATACATCTTCAGTTTCTGCAAGTTTGTTATAAAAATCTCAGACAATATTCCATTTTGGTTCATTTAGGAACTTACCGATTAAAATTACATCATTGCAGAGAATATATCTGGATCCATTCTCTTTATCCACCATTTTAGTGCCTATAAGAAGGTTCAAAAGCATTGTAGTTTTTCCCGAATCAGAACTTCCAGCCACAACCATTCTAAATGGCCATGTTGGTGAATATTTATTTCCTTGCTCTAAAGGCTGATATTCATCATTATCATATAATCATCAGCAAATTTTTTGTACATAAAATCTATATAAATATTATGTAATTTTATATAAAATTATCTATGTAAATTTTACAACCCTCAATAAATTTTATGTAGTTATAAAAATTATAAATTTGTAAATTTGTATAAAAATTACATTTATAAAAATCATAAATTTGTAGATTTGCATAAAAATTACATTTATAAATTTGTAGATTTGTATAAAAATTACATTTATAAAAAGCATTTTTCTATAACTTTGAATGCATTTATTATTTATATTTTTATTATTATTAGTGTAATTATAACAAATGAATTCATAAATATATGAAGAAAACATTAATAATATAAAATAATTATTATGTACAGTATGTGAAGCAATTATATTATATGTACACTATCAATCACTCTGCATTAGAAGATGATGTTGGATCATATCCCTGTTAAATGTAATAATAATATCAAAGATTTTATAATGTTATAACCCAAAGTGTTTGCAAAGGTGATTGTAACAGCATCTATATTAAATGAAATAATACATACAAGAAAATCTTGCATTCTATCAAGAATATATGTTTGATCAATCTTAACACCTTCATGTTCTGAATTTAGAATACAATGGCAAACAGCTCTAGTAAAGGCCATTTGTCTATTGGTCACATTTGATCTTTTCCACACAAGTAGATTAATAATTTCAATGTTTGAGTGGCTTTCATCATCATTAGGATTAAGGCTATCAAGATTGTTCAAACATTCTTTAACATCTTCTGATTCCTTCCAATTATTTATTACAGATATTGGAGTGGATGTGTCAACTTTTTCTATGTTTGTAAAAACCTTATAAATTGATTCTTTAATTCTAGAACACATAGAACCATGAACACATCTTACTTGGTCTGTTGACTGTTAAAAATTAAATTAGTGACTAGCTATAATCATAAAAAATAATTGATTACAAAAAAAATTCAATAATACAAAGCTTTTAAATCTTTTCTCCAAATAAGAGGGAACTCTTCTCTAACAAAATATTCTTCACAATTTTTTTTCTAAAGTTGATTTGATAGTTTTCATGAGTTGTTTTTCATCAGGATACATATATCTGCTTAATAAATTCTTTATGCAATGTATAGTTTCATCCTAGACAAAAATAAAAAAATCAATTGCATAGATCTTCTAATTATTATAATATTATATTATTGTACCTTCCACCATCCACTATCTTTTTCTTGTTGTATTTTCTTTATATTATCTTTTATTTCTTGGTTGGTTTTTAATGCAAGCTCCAATAATTTAGAATTTTGATTTACAAGATTTTTAATATCATTTTTGATTTTCTTTTGATTCTTCAATACAATTTGAATACAGAACCAACTTCTAAAAATATTTACAATTGAGATATATAATAAAATAAATTATTATTGTTAAATGTAAAAAGGACATTTATAAAGAAACCTATAATAGTTTTTGGCTTTTTGGTGATTTCAAAATCTAAATCTTCTGACAATTCCTTTCTTTTCAAAAACATATCATGACTTTCTAGATCGGTTATTTCAATAAAAGACCCAAGTGTTGATTCTTCTTCTTCTTCTTCTTCAGTAGATATGAACTAACAACATTAGTAGTATTTGCATCTTCTCTTCTAATAGAAGTGAATTAACACCAGCATTTTTTTTTCCTTAGATTGTAAAAAGGCATTTGAATTCTTTTGATAGAATTTATGTTATTATTATTATTTTGGTGAGGTGGCATTGTTACTTATTTTATTTTATTAAATTTAAAATTTTTTTTTTCAAAGATTTTTTTTTACAGTATTTAATTTATAAAAGTTTAAAAAAAAGTTTAATTCGTGATATGTGATAGAAGTAGATAAAAATCTATACATCAATCCGGGGCAAAAATGTGTAAAAATCAACAAATTGAAATACTTCTCTCCAATATAACATGACAAAAATATTCTGCAAACAGAAAATGATATGATTTTTAGATACATTAGAACCATAAAATTGCTTCGCTTAAAAAAAATTTTTTAAAAACAAATTTTAGGACTGATCTACTGTTTCAACCAATCAATTAACAAATTCGTCAACACTGGGCATACTTGGATTTACAAAAATGAGACACTTCTATCACGCATCATGAATTAAATAATTAAATTAGCCAATCCACAATTTTGCAACAATCTGTATTTGTGTTTGATAACTTAGTTTCTACAATCAAGATATAGGCAGAATGTATCTTTTTAGTCAGCTTACAGAATTTACTGAAGAAAATTTGGAGGATTTTCAGGTATATTTTATTTTATGAGAATAATTCAATTATTTTAAATTAATTAATCAATTACCTTAATATTTGAAGATATCAATTAATGAATGGGCTGGATAAATTTGTTAAGCTTTTTAAAAGGTTTTCACCCACTGAATTTAAATATACCTAAATTTCATCATTGGGTTTATCACACAATTCCAAGTATTAGAATGTTTGGAGCAATCAATGGTTATAGTGCAGAAACATATGAGACACTTCACAAGTATTATGTTAAAAATCTTTACAAGATGACAAATAAACATAACACAAATCCACAAATTATAAGAATGGTTAGCAATTTATAAAACATTGAATTTCTTTTTTTTCAATTTATTTAATTAATTTCACCAAGATTTTTTTTTACAGATAAATCATAAAAGTGTAATTATTATATATAAAAAAGTGATGACTAACAATAAAAAACAAAAATACAAAGAATCCAAAATAGAACTTCTCAATCTAAATAATAGTTTTCAATTACATTTAATACCAGGGATATTAAAATCATTACAGCCTAACACAGTCCCAGAATATATTTTAGGATTAAAAAATTTAAAAGATTGTATAATTAGCTATTTTGATCAAATATTTTCAAATTCAGTGATGATGCAAATTATAGAAATTGACCAAGTCAAAGTTACATTATATAATCCTGCAAGAATAAATTCTGGAGAAATCATAAGAGCAACCAAAAAATTTCATGACAAGCCATATTTTAGTAACATAACAATAAAAATGGAGGAAGATTCAGCTGGCTATTACAGTCAGGGTTTTTACCGAATTTGGAAATCGATTCTAGAATGATCTACACAATTTTAATAGGCTCTTGTGCATTCATTTCCGTTGTAAAAACTTCATGTTTCATGTGACTTTACACAAAAAAATTTTGTTGTAATTTTAAACCATATCATAAAAATAAACAAACAAACATTCATATTTTAATAATCACCAAAGAGTTTAAAATAATCACCCAGACTTCAAAAAGTAAATGAGAGCTAAAAAGAGGAAAATCTTGTAATTTTTTACAAAAATTCTTATTAATATTAATAATTTAAAAAGTACTACGAGAGGAATAGATAGTATAAAGCCTCCAGTTTCAGATTAACTATTAACTAAGGTCCTCAGTAAGTTCTGGATCTCAAATATATTAGTTTAAAAAAAGAATGTTTTTGTTGATTAACTTTAAAAAAGAGTAATTTCATTAATTAATTTCTTATTAATAGTAACATAGGAATATATAGAATAAAACTTATAGAATATACTTCTAGTTCAGACAGTTGCCTATCAATGAATATGTAATTTCGCTTTACATGTAAGAATTACTCAAAATAATATTTATCAGTTACATATATATTAAATTTATTAAATTTATTAAATTTATACATATATTAAATTTATTAAATTATTTTATGAATTATTAGGGTTTATATTTAATGGGTAAGGTGAAATGGAAAAAATCTATGATGATGATGCATTTATTTAATGTTTATACCAATACAATAATACAATTTCTTCCAATATACATAACATCCATGAATATTAATATGTATTTACGCTTTACTCTCAAGTCAGGTATGTCTTCACTAAACCAAATTTATTAAATATTACCTCACTGAAGGACAAATATAAAATAAGAGGAAATTATTATGCATGGAATTAGCATGAATTCATTGTTAGAGATAGGTTTATTATCATTACGAAAATATATAATTCAAAGGTCAGCTTTTATTTATTATTTTATTAATTATTAACTAACTATTATGAATTTTTCCAACTACTTTTTTAAGTCAAGGAAATTATAATGTTATTTATACATGTTAAAGATTCAATTATCTAGCTCTCCAATTTCTTAAATGTAAATTAAAGATAAACAACCTTTCTTTTGAGAATAATTACAAGTTCTTTTTTTTAAAGTGAATGAATGATTTGAATTCAGAATTAAAGAAATATTACAATTTAGAATGTTAGGAATAATCTTTCTTGATAATTTGTGCAAGTTAATTACTTTATGGAAATTATATGACCAATAAATAAAGCTTTCGTCATGTTTTTCTTGTTCCCTTTTTCATTAAAGATTATTAACGAAAGGATCTGCACAGAATTTAGCCAATCAGAATTTCTTTTCATAACGTCGATCATTACAGGGTATTATCCCTGATTGAATTTAGCCAATCAGAATTTCTTCTAGAATTTTTCATAAGAGTCGATCATTACAGCATTTAGTATTTCCAAATTCGGTAAAAACCCTGACTGAATTATGTCAATTTTTCTGTGTTAATATTACTGCATTTCTACTCATTTGAGTTGAAGCAACAACTTCTGACAACTCTTTTTAGTAACAATTGGTCAGGTTCAAAAATACTAAATAAAAATTTTTATATCATTTTAAAAAAAAGTGACCGATAAATTTTATTGTTCATGACTCAAGCTTCAAAATTTATCGGACCACATGATATTTCAAATCTTTAGCCTTGCCAACCTGAATCAAAAATTAGTATTTCAATATTTTATACATTCCTATCAAAAACTAATACGTAATGCTAGTATTATTATTATCAAGAATTTGAATAATTGATAACAATGATGACAAAGTGGAAGGTACTATGTAAATGAATTGAATTATTATTGTTATCAATGATGCACGAAGCATTATTTTGAATTATTCATTAATTAAGATTTAAATTTTTGTATATTGTAATAAGCAATGAAAATTTTTAGTCCAACACGAGTAATTGCACATTAAAGATGGTGATCGCACCCAATATATGTATATATCACGTGATGATAATTTTGATAAAGTGATGTTATTGTGGTAACCTGGAAAAAACTGTTATATGATCTAAGCCAGTATCTTGGGGCCACCATAACCATTTACTATCGGTAACTTGCAATCATTCCGTTGGCACTGGCAATCAAAATTTTAGTTAATAATAATAATAGTAACGGTAATAAATTTAAAAGAAAGAAATATATTAATTAATCGATAAATACAATGTATATAATAATAATAATACATTAAAAAAATTTTTTTTGTTAAAATAGATAAAACTCGATTTCCAATTTCAATTCCACATATAAATTTTTCCCAAAAAAAGGTCGACAATAAAAGTTTTCCCAGTCCGTTGAATAAAGATTAACTAGAAAAAAAATCGAACCGTTGGTTTTCGTGTTGATTATTAAAATACTGACGAAGAAAAGTATCAGGATCGATTTCATAATCGCTCACTTGAGATGAACTTGTGTTGTATATTGTCCCATACAAATAATCTCTAGTATTAAACATTTCATCATCTTCCATATTGAATATCTCTTGATTACAAAACAAGTGTAATAGTTGACTGAGTGATAATTGTCCAGGCTCCACCAATTCAACTTCTTGGCTTGAATAAGGATAAGTACTTTGAGCGTCCTGATAATTTGATGCATTATAGATTGTCGTATCGAATGTTGTAATATTATTATTATTGCTGCTGCTGGTGGTGTTGCTGTCATTGCCGTCTCTGTTGATATAAACGAAATTAGAATCATTTTTGTTGTCAAAATGGACTTCTCTCCACACCAACTTTTTTTCATTGTCATCTTCGAGTTCTTTGAGACTAATCATCTCTCGGTTCTTCTTGTCAAGTTTAGATAAAATTTCAAAGAATTCTACTTTTCTTGTAGGATCAGATTTTTTTAATGCATTCCATGCATCCTTTGCATCTTTTGAAATATCTTCCATTTTAAAATTTTTTTCAGGGTAAGTTTCTCTTAAATATATTGCATGATATTTACGGAATTTAAGGAATTTATTTGGCCATTTTTTTTGTTGGACTACTTTCTTTGAAGGAGATAATTTTAATATCCTTTTTTTCTTTTTCTTTTTTCTTTTTTTTGAAAGAAATTGGTCGATTTGTGTGTCATTAATATCAATAGGTGGATTTTCTAATAATTGTTTCTCGTGTTCTGTTAAATCTAATTGTTTTACGAGTTTTATAATGTTTTTTGAAAGAGTCATGGCTATGTAGCAAATATTTAATGATTATTTTATTCGTTTATTTTTTTAATATTAAGGTATTCAGAAATTTTATTTAGACGTTTATGAAAACTTGAAAATTTAGGTATTAATGTCGTCAATTTATTTAATTTTTTTTTTTCTCACAATATAGTAAAAAAAAAAAAATCAATGATAAATGTATTTCCTTTTCTGTAGATTGTACAAACAAAAAAAAAAAAAACAAACGTTTCATTTCAGCTGGACGCTTGTACAAATCTGCGTAACTTATCATAACTAATACTAATGTTTGAATAAAAGAAAATCATTAGTAGGCGATATATTAAACTTTATTTTGTAAAACCATTTATAATTTTATAAAAATCGAAATTTCAAAGATTACTATGATAACAATAATAATTTGAATGGGTGGTAATATTAATTCCCGAGATGATAAAAAGTTTACTATTACTATTACCTAATACTAATACTAAAATAGGAAATCTCCACATCCACGCGGTCTGTGTGTAAAATTGAAAGGGTGCAAAAGGCGCGCATGTAACATTTAACAATTTTCAGAGTAGTTTCTAAATTTGTTACACGACGAAATTTACATACTGCACACTTTTAATTCGTACTATATAATATTTTATTTTTCGGATAGGAACGATCTAAGAAAGATTAAAAGACCCTTTTACGTTTTCCTTTTTTATAAATTAATATAGGAATTTAATTCCAAGAAAATAATAATAACAACAACAACAATATTCACCAATTATCGGAATTTTTTGTCCGTATTCTTTATACACCTAACTTTAATTAACTCTAATTCAATTTATTTATTTATATATTAAGCAAACATGTATTAGAAAGATTAAATCTTTAAATCTTGTACTTGGGAATTACAATAAAAAATACGAACAAATAAATACAACAAACAAACGTGTTTCGAAATAATTGACGAAATCAATTCATCCAGTATTTATGAAATAAAATATTCGTAAACAAACGAATAATATATGATAGATATAGCAGATTGCAAATAGAAGATTAATAAATAAATATAAATAAATATGAAATTTTTAAGTTATTCTAATATTAATAAAATTGATGATTTGTCAAATTTCACTATTGTTGTTGTTGTTAATAATACCATCATTATTATTGCCATTATTATCATTTTCATTAACGCCATTATTATTTATCGTAAATAAAAACAAATCCTTTATTAAATACCGTTGATTATAAATTGTATTAACATTTGTGATATTGGATGATGTTGCCGATGATTGCGCACCATTAGTCTCAGGCCCAGCCCCAACACTAGCATCGGTAGTAGTACCAGTACCACCACCAGTTTCAGTTCTTGTATCGGTAGTTTCTGGATTTTCCTCCCCGTTTAAATCGTTTTCAGTATTAATAAATTGATAAAAATCATTCTCGAAATTATTTTCGTTATAATTAGTAAACTCATTCATGTCATTCATGTTGTTAATGTCATTAATGTTAATGCTATCCATGTTGTTAATATTGTTAATGTTAATATTGTCCATGTTGTTAATATCATTAATGTTGCTAATGACATCGATATCGAATTCTAATTCTAATTTTGGTTGAATAAATTCCTGTGGATTAAAGTACATGTTATTGTTATTATTATCAGTAAATTCAAAACCTGCTGCTGCTGGTGATTGAAATGCAAGAAAAGTATTGTTATCAACAAGATTAATATCAAGATTGTTGTTGTCGTTGTTGTCGTTGCGTAAAGTTTGATCAATAAAATAAGAATTATTTAAATAAACCAAAGTGTTATTGTTGCTATTGATATTTGATTGTTGTGGGTTAGGGTTAATATTGCTCAAGAAATTGGTATATTCATATTTAATTGGAAGATTGTCGTTATTATTATAATTGCAATTAAAGCTAGAAGAATCAGAATTAGACTTGAAATTGAAATTAAAATTAGAGGAATTGATATTATTAATATTAATATTGGTATTATTAAAGTAAGATGTGGAAGTAGAGGATGATGAATTGGAGGATGGGGAATATGATGGCGAAGGAGGGCAAGGAGAAGGTAAAGGAGGAATTCTATTAGTATTGGTATTATTAACATTATTGTTGTTGTTGACATCTTTTTTTTGATTTTTATGTTGTTGTTGTTGAGCAACATCTTTAAAAATCCAATCTTTTAACGCCGAATTATTATCCTTTACTGTTTTTTTTTTTGGTGTGTACTTGTACGCAGGATAAATGGATTTGTGTTTTTCGTGTGCCAATTTTGACAGAATATCAAAGAATCGTTTAACTTTCATCGACTCATTTCTCCAATGTTCCCCGGCATCTGTTGAAATGTTTTTCATTTTCAAAGCCTTTTCCGGAAATCGTAATCGCTGTTTTGCTTCATAATCTTTACGAAATAGAACCCATGCATTTTGTGGTCTCGGAATTTTAATATCAACAACGATGGTGGTTGTTGATGCAACTTCCGCGCTATTGGATGGCCGATTTTTTTTCGGTTTGCGAGATGGTTTGTTGGTATTGTCAGCTGGCGAGATCAATTCTTCGAATGACAATGTTAGTTCATATGGTGGATTTTGAAGAAGCTTAACTTCTTCATCACTAAGATCCATATCCTTACAAACAAATGATAACATGGAAAAGGAGGAGGAGGAATGAGTAGGAGAAGAGGAACAAAAGGAAAATGGTAAAGATAACGAATTATTATTATTATTATTATTATTATCGCTGATATCGACATCATCGAAATTATTTTGAGTTGGAGAAAAAATTGATGAAATAATTTCATTTTTACTACCAACGTCATTGTAGTTAACTGTATTATTGGTGTTGGACATATTATTAATCAATGTGAAGTTGGTTGAGGTGAAATCGTTAATGGCGAAGTCTGAATTCATCGGATTAAAAACATCATCAAAGTTATTGTTAAAATTGGTAGGGGTAGAGATAGTAGGGGTCATGGTGATAATATTGTTGCTGGTAATTTTTTGAAGATTCGAAAATGTAGCAAGTTCGGTTTTAATATTTAAAGATTTTTCTGATTTGACTTTAGGCATTTTGATTGTTTTGTTTGTTTGTTAAATGATTTATTTGTAAAATTGATTTGTTGTTAAATTATTTATTTGTAAATTGATTATTTGAATGAAAGTAAACATATTTATACTAATTTTTTTTTTTCTTTTTTTTAATTTTAAGAAAAACATCTTGGAAATAATTTGCATACATATTATTATTAATGAGCTAATGCAATCAATTCAAAATTTGGTAATTTGCTTGTGTACATTAATGAAAATGTCATTTTAAAAAATTCGGATTCCAATGTAATCAATTCAAGAATGGTATAATATCTATAATATCGCTGCATAAAAGTAAAATGTCGAGCCTAATGTAATCGTTTGAATTTGTATTATTTACCGTACATGGTAATTGAAACAATTATTAAATAATGATATTCAACATGTCACAAGATTTTGGACAATGTGATAATCAATCAAAATGAACGACTCGAATTTAATTTGATCTTTTTATGAAGTTAAACTATTTTAAGAATCGCTTATGATGGATTAGGTAAAACACTATTAAATTAATATTAATTAATTATTCCATTATTCTCTATCAAAATAATACTTATGTTTTTCTTGGACTTAAAGAACCGCTTCATCATTTGGGGTTGACTTCAATTGGTTCACCAACCACACACAGTAACCGTTATATATACATCATGAAAGAAGGATACATATCAACAGTTGTAATAAAATAGAATAAAATTTTAGATCAAATAAATAAATAAATAAAAAATTAATTAATTAATTATCCTCCTCCTCCTCCTCCTCCTTCTATCAATCAATGTTCCATTCCACAAACTTACAGTTGAAAAGTCTTCTTCCATGAACTAACGACAATTTACTTTTGTATCAGCTTCTGGAATTTCTAAATTTACATCTTTAGGATTGTCAACCTGCTTCAAAATATCATTTTACCCAAATGAAAAATGGATGCCGGTCTAACACCAGATTGTGTGGCCAATTTTTAACACCAAATTATAAACATCCAGCCTTGCACTCAAACTTTCACCTGCTCCACCAACCACCGTCATCACTTAGTGACCTGGTGTTTTCACATTGAAATAGATGCAAGACCTTGAGTCATCAAATATAAAGTGTCATATTAAAACTGGTTGCCATAGTCAATGTTCTACATTTGATACCACAAGATTTTATCAAGTGGACGATTTCTAAGCTAACAATGTTCTTAAAGGCAAATAATCAACTCAAAATACCAATGGGTCCCTTTCTGCTTGTTATGTCCCATATATGCTATTTATATTACACCTTAAAATGGTGGAAGATTTTATTTTGCTAGGAAGGCGATGGCATTCTAAATATTTTCCAATCAAATTAATAAGGTAAATATTATGCTGGTGAATTATATAAGATATACAGAAAAAGGATAATCTATTTATGTAATTTCCTTCAAAAGCTGATCTTTTTTTTAATGCTAATTTTCTACTTTTACAAATTCTTATAACAAATTTAATAAATAAAATGTCTCTATATCATACGTAATAATTGTACAAATTTTCTATGTGTGATTACATCTATGTGTATGTAATTTAATATACAAATTATATATTTCAAATTTTTCAATTTTCAAAAAAAAAAATACCTCTCCCTCCAGTTATAAAATCATCTTAATCTAATTAACTAAACCAACATCTCTTTTTACAAACCAATCAATCATATCTCCCAAAACTTTCTTACCGCTACCAAGATCTCGCAACATATCATGTTCACAATAATCATACAAGATTATGAATTTTTGATCTTCAGGAGTTTGAGATCGTGAAATCAATTCTTTTGATCCTCTCATATGACAAACACGATCATTTGTTCCATGTAATGTTAAAAATGGTTTACGTATCTCTCCAAGATTTGATTGTAACCATTCAGTACCCGCCAATAATGACAAACCTGTTGCACATCGTAAGTTTCCATGATAAGTTTGCGGGTCTGATAAAAATCTCTATTTATTAGATTTATATATACGTATTATATTTATTAACCAATTAATATTAAAAAAATTAATCCAAATAAAAACAAATAAAATATTATAATTACAAAATCATGTAATGGATCACTACTACTTTTACCACGGTGAGCTTTAGCAAGTGGCAGACGCCCAAAAGGTGTTTTAACAAGGAATTTTGCCAGATATTCAAGTAATTTACCAGGCCTACTTTGACCATGCACATGAATTAAAGGAGCCATTATCACAAACGAATCAAATGTTTCTGGATATCTTATAGCATAACATAAAATAGTCATTCCGCCAAGCGACCCACCTACCAAAATAATTTTACGATTTCTTCTCAATTTTACTACTTCTTCCTCCTCATCAACATTCTCTGTCAAGTTTTGTCCTTGAACATGATTGATAACCAAATAAATTGCCTCAACCAATGATTGCCAACTTTCTATATATGAATGTAGTCCACTTGATCTTCCAAAACTTGGCAAATCAATTGATATCACTCGAAATCCTTTTTCCAAGATTTGTTTACTAAATTCAGAAAATCTACCTCCATAATCATTCAGACCATGGACAAAGAGTATGTCAACATTTCGTTGTTGTTTTGTAATAGTGATTGGTAGTTGCCATGTTTGGTAATATGTTTGGTAATATATGAAATGCTCTTTTAGTTTGCTTAATATTGGTGAAGTGGAAGAGGAAAATGGGATTTCGTGATGAGTATGGATGTATGGCGGTAAATGAAGCGTTTGCTCATGAGGAGAATATGGTAATGCAGACCTCCCATAAGTCAAGTCTTGTGGTATGTGAAGTGCTTTATAAATTGGTTCCAGGAACATACTAAACACAGTGTTTTTAGAATTTCGAAGAGCATCCAAAGTTGTCGCTTTTAAACTTATTTCTGTCATATTAATAACAAAGAATGTGTTTTGTGGAAAAAAAAAATTTGAAATAAATAAAAATTGCGTTTGTGCAAGGTTTCATTTTACTCTTACATATTTCACATGAAAAAAATTATTTTGTAACACATTTAAATATTTTTTTTTTCTTTTTAAAAATGACAGAATTACTTCCGTTGCAACATCAAGATATAACAGAACTGGAAGCCACAAACAACAATAATTATATTAAAAATAATAATAACAACAGCAATAATAATAATAATAATAATAATAATAATAATAAAAGCAAAGATGGAATAATATTGGATAAAGACGGCAAGCCATGTAGAGTATGTACAAAATTCAAGAATTGGACTAAGCAGGAAAAAAAGAAACAAAAGCAACACCAAAGTGATGAGAAATCATCATCATCATCATCATCATCATCATCATCATCATCACCTTCATCATTTTCTTTGAATGGTTTACCAAAAGATTGTCCACCAGATTCAGAAGAATTGGGCAGGTCAACATGGACACTTTTACATACAATGGCAGCTTATTATCCAGAAGTACCATCATATTCACAACAAAAATCAATGAACTCCTTCCTGAAAACATTTTCCGAATTCTATCCATGTTGGTATTGTGCAGAACATTTAAGGAATGAGATGAAAAAGTATCCACCAAAAGTCGAAAGTAAATGGGCATTAGGAGGGTGGTTATGTGATATGCATAATATTGTTAATGATAGATTAGGCAAGACATTATTTGATTGTAGTAAAATTGATGAGAGATGGAAAGATGGTCCAAAGGATGGTAGATGTGATTAATTTTATTAAGGAGAAGAGCGCAAAACTTAAATTATTTGCATGAATTATGCAAAAATATCTAATTTATTTATTTACATTAAAACATAAAAAATTTAATGCAACGATTGAATCTTTTGAAAGTGCATGCATGACATTTATCAACCAAAATATTTTTATAAATGAAAAAACTTCTTTCCACATCAACTCCTGAAATTAGCAACTATATGTAATCTAAGACCATCTTTGATAAACGATAAAGCTTTTAATAACTCTTTCCAAAACAAATCTAGATCTGAATCATCTTCAAAACTTCCAGAATAAATGCCCATTCATGTAATAATGTATCATTTGGATTTGCAAGTTCAGAATATTTTTCTACATGATTGTTGTGAGTAAATATACTGAGGATCAAAGCTTTAAAAGGAGGTAAAGCATTATGGTTATCAATATGCTTTTTGAATTTTTGATATGCCAATGTAAATGCTTCTTTGAAATATTAATACAAGAAGGGTACATTACATTGAAGAAAAATGATTGTGAATTTCCTGACTAGTATAGGGATTTTGAGAACTATATAATAAAAAAGATTATAATCATTCTAATCTATTTGATACAAACAAAGCAATTGGTAGATTTTGGATTTTGAAAAACTCTAAATCATTAATAATATGTTTATGAACATTAAGACATTGGAATGGAGTAAAGAATCCTTGGATTTCTTTCAAATGAAAAGTAGCTGTCTCCCGAAAATATGTTCCTCATCTGAAATTTATGGAACTATTAAGACAATCAAAGAATTAGAGGGAATTCCAATTGCTGGGGTTTTAGGTGATCAACAAGCTTGCTTTAGTTGGACAAAAGTGTTTTACACATGGTGATGTTAAAAGTACTTATGGAACAGGATGCTTTATGTTATTCAATAGTGGTAAAGATCCTGTCATTTCTGAATCAGGACTCCTCACAACAGTTGGTTATAAATTTGGTAGTCAGGATGCCATCTATGTTTTAGAAGGTTCAATTGCTGTGGCTGGTTCTCTATTAAATGGGTCAGAGATAATTTAAAGATCATTAATGAGACATCTGAGATTAATACGTTGGCTGCTTCAGTAAAAAATACTGGTGGTGTTTATTTTGTCACTGCATTTTCTGGCCTATTCACTCCTTATTGGCATGATGATGCATGTTGCTGTATTGTTGGTATGATTCAATACACTGACAAATGTCATATTGCATGAGCAACTCTAGAGGCTGCATGTTTCCAGGCTCCAAATTGGTTTGGTGATTTCAATGGTCAAAATTATTCCAATTTTGATGGTAGAAAGTAGAAATTAATTATGGCACCCACTATTAAAAACATAAGTGTAACACCCCTTTACTACACTTGTAACCTCCTTTATGACAGTGTTAAAATACTTTGGGCTGCATGTATAGCTATGAACAAAGATTCTGGTCATCCTTTAACTTCTCTCAAAGTTGATGGCAGAATGACAAATTCTGATATTTTGTATGCAAATTCAATCAGACATTCTTAATATTGAGGTTAATTGTCCTGCTATGAGAGAAACAACAGCACTTGGTGCTGCTATTGCTGCTGGTTTTGCTGTTAAAATTTGGAACTCTTTAGATGATTTGAAAAATGTTAATACCAAAGGCCATACCATCTTTTCTCCAATGAAGAGGCTCAAATTAAATTTGAACAATGGGAAAAGGCTGATCAAAGAAGTTTAGATTGGGCATAAAGTCAACTTCTTCTTCATCAGAATATTTATTATACATATATTATTATTTGTTTATCGATCACCAACTTGCATATTAATATTAATAATAATAATTTTAACATAAATAAAATTTAAAAAATTATTTATATATTCCATTTATTTTTTGTTAAATTATTTAAAAAAAAAAAAAAACCAAGAGTAATTTTATATCATCTCACACATTAAATAAAAATAAACCAATACAAAAACTTGTTAACTTTTAATGAGTGCAACACAAAACGGAAGCCCAAAGCCTTCTTTGCATGGTGTTAAGATCAAACAAAGAAAGGTATTTACTAGTTATTTGCGAATTATCGTTATATAAAGCGAAGTGTAAAGTCTAATAACTATATAATTTGTATTGTATCAATAAGGGTCAGCAAAAAGCACAAGCCAAACACGAACCAACCGGTGAGGCCTCAGCTAATCTTTCAATTTGATAAATGTCTTTAATTTTATTAATTTATAATTTCAATCTTTTTTTTTTTTTACAACAGTCTTTAGAGATAATATTATAAAAATTCTTTTAAACGTTAAACCAGGAGATTTTGATGAAATCTCTTTACAATTAGATTCTGCCGGTAATACCCTAGAGTATAAAAAGTACGGAGAAACTTTATTTGAAATTCTTTTGCTTGGTGGTGTATTAGGTAAGCAAAAAATAACAAAATAATAAATTTTGTAATGACTTTGCTGACTTTAGCGAAAGATTAAACATACCCGTTACTCTTCCTCTTCTTGCTTCTCCTGTTGTTAATATTATTTTAATAATTTTTCTTATCAATTCTTTATTTTTAGCGCCTGGAGGTACTATATTAGATGATGGAGCACCTAAAAGCCCATTCTCTATTTTCTATGCAGAAGATAATATTGAAAATATTAAAAAGCATGTTGAAGTTTTCAATAAGTTAATTAGACGTTATTTATATTTGCAGCATATTTTTGAAGATAAAATCAAGAATATGCTTCAGTATATTAACAAATGGAGTACTGAAGAAAACAACAAACTTGCCACTGCAATTGGTTTGTTTGCCTCTGGTCAATTGATTAGTATAAACGTTTTGAATGCTTTATTCAGTGAGCATCTTGTGAAAGAAGGTGAATACAAATAAATCAATACATATAAGATTATTTTTTATTTAACTTTATCGTGTAAATATATTTATGCATGTAATCCTATTATATAGGACATTCCCTTCAATTTATCACCACAGTCTTCAAAGCTTATCTTGGCGAACAAAACATGGAACATCTTGGTAGCTCCCTTAAAAAAGCTGGAATTGACTCCAAGCTTATAGATTTTTTCCCGCCAAACAAAAGAGACAAAGAATATTTTGCTCGCTATTTTGAGGCGGAGGACATGAAACAATTTGTTGATTTTTATAATCAACGATTAAAGAATTCAATGAAAGATCAAACTATTGAACATGTTAAGGAAATGATGGATTCATCCAGTACCAATGCAGAGGTACACACACACATATATTAAATATATTTATTATGCTTGATTTAAAATGTCCCGAATTCTAATTATGTCTGGTTGTTGCTATTTTTTAATTATTATAGGTCATTACTTATCTTAAACAACAAATGAAAAATGGTGGTTGGCAAGAAAGTGATTTTGTTCAAATCGTGTGGGAATCATTGTTACAGGCTGTTGATTGGAGCACTCGTCCAGAACAAATTGGAACTCAAGCTGCAAATCAAGTTAAAGTGAGTTTATATGATTATTATATTTTAGAATCATATAAAAAAACATATATTAATAATACGCTTAAAATCATTTTTTTCACTTATTAGCAATGCTCAAGTATTATTTCAGAATTTGCCAATAATCCAAAGACTGAACTTGCTCTTTTGCAAAAAATCCAAACTTATTGCTACGAGAACACAAAACTAATGAAACATTTCCGTAAAATAGTTCAAATCTTGTATGACGAGGACGTTGTGTCAGAAAATGCAATCTTATATTGGAATGAAAAAGGTGCAAAAAATCAAGGAAAAACCTCGTTCTTAAAACAAATGGAACCTTTCATTCAATGGCTTAAAACTGTCGAGAGTGAAAGCGAAGAAGAATAGATTTTTATTTTTATATTTTATCAAAATTTTATTTAATTAATATTTAATTTTTTATAGGCATTAATAAATAAAATGATTGATTTAAACCAAATTATCTGAATTGTTGATTGTATGTAACATTTGTTTTCAAAACAGTTCTATTATTGATAAATTATTTCATTATATACATACTATTATTTTTTTTTTTGCTAACCCAGCTTTGAAGTATCAAACTTGCCATCACTAAGACGATACCGAAAAAGTCCTTTATAAACTTGTTTATTAAAAGCTTTTTTCATGAGACTTTTATTTTATTATCTAACTCCAATCATTCTGAAATATTCTAACTTTGCCCAATTCCTTATTGAATGGCACAATTCCAAATATCAATATTATCTACCTCTAACCCTTTAGAGATATCAGTCAATTGCACAAATGTCATCAGAATTTAGAATTAATATTTTGTTGGATTCATTCTTTTTTTTCTGAATTAAAACTTTTGTAAATATTCAATTAAATCACTGAAATACATAATAATAATTTCATCTGGATCCACTGTAAATATATCTTTTATAAATAAAAAATGACAGAATCTTTAACTAAGACCTTGTTTTAAACAGAAAACTATATTATATATATTAAAATCTAAACTTACATTTAAAAGAACCTCAAATACTTTTGGAGAAATAATTAAATTTTTGATACAACGAATTTTTAAAAACGTTGTTACACACTATGAAAACATTAATATAAAAATTCGTTGAAACGCGATTAGTAACCTTGTTTCAACGAATGTTGAATAAAATTTTCTTATATGTCCAGCCACTTCGTTGAAACAAGGGCAGACTGTAAAATAGTATTAAAATATGAAGATTTTGCTTTAAGATATTGGAATGAGCTTTAATTTCTACATCATAAAATCTGATTCATTTAATAATTTTCTTAAATCATTCACAAGTTTATTAATATATTTCAATGGTAAAAGCATATTCGTTAGGATTATAACTAAATAAATGCGCGTTTATTTTTTCCAACTAGTTGACATTTTATTTATTTTTTCTTTAAAAAAAATTTTTTTTTGCAGCTATTCAAATGATTGTCAAGAAAGTATTACATATTATATTATATTAAAAACAAAGAATATTAAAGAAAAAAGAAAAAGAAATTTTAATTTAAAACAAACCATCTAAAGCCTAAACTCTAAATTAATCGATTTTAGGGTATTGTCCAGGTATAAATTTATTCGCTAATAAAGGATAAAATTTTGCTTTAACAATGACTTTACAAGCATCTTTATCAGATAAATCTATACCAATTAAAGGAAAAGAACAAATATCTAAAGATAATTTTTCTATTTCTTCGCCAACATCTTCCATTTTCATTAAATTTCTATCAAATTTTAAATTATTATCTAGCCATTTAAATTGCAAGCTTTTATCATGAGCTTGCATTCCAAAGTAAAATAGATTAATAATTTTATGTATTATTTCTATTAAAATATTATTAAATATTTTCTTTGGATTTTTATTATCTTTCCCTTGACCATTATCGTTGTCTAAACATTTGATTTTACAATATTTTTTCAAAGTTTTTAATAATTTTTCTAGTACAAATTCTATAAATGGATGATCAAATCCATCAAAGTTTTTTGTTCCTAATACAGCATAAACTTCAGGATTTATTCTAGTTTTATAAGTTTTCTTTGAATCTAGGTTATCAAAGTCAAAGGTTTCTTTACTTAATCTAGGAGAATCCATCAAATCAATAAATGGATCTTTTGAATATTTTATGCATCTGTCCAATGATCCATTGAAATAAACTTCCGAATGTTCTAGAATTGTTTCTATTATAACTCTTTGTAAAAGATTTGATAGGAATGCTTTAGATTTGTCTGAATAAATATAATCGTCGTAGTCTATTTCAGTTTTGCAATCATACTTTCTAATTAAATTTTTAATTTCTTCAATTTTAACTTCAAGTAAATTATTATTCGTTAGAAAACTTCTTGATTCTAATTGCTCTGCACTTAAATTTAATTCACAACATTTGTCACCACAATTATTGTCGAACTTGGTGAGCATTGACAATAAACATTGACAACTCTCCGCGTCAGCTTGTAATTGATAAATGTTATTGAAACTTGCATTTTCTAAAAATTGTATTTGCATAGCTTGTGTTTCGATCAATTGTTGTTGGCCAAAACTACTCTTAAATTCAGATTCATCATCCATATAACTAAAAATATTTTCATAATTATTGTTTGTTGGAGTTAAAGTTGATGTATTTGTTGCTGTTGTAGCTGAGTTACTGCTAGTAGAATAAAGTCTTGGAACTTCTTGAATTGCCTCTTTTAATGCGGTATTAACTTCTTCATTATAAGTCATTATTATTGATAATAAATTATCGTCTAACATTGAATGATTATCCATTAAAGATGATATGTGTTGCTGGACAACCGAAAGTTGGTTATTGACAGCTTGCACCATTACATTATTTTCTTCTTCCATATTACCGCTACTAATTAACGACATAGCTGACAATCTTTTTGGGTTAAGTTTTGAAAATTGATGATGAGATTCTTGAATTCTACCAAGTTCATGAAGTTTTGAACGGAAATTTTCTATTTCGCACACTATACTTGTTATTTCTCCATGTATTGGATTGTCTTCTTCTAGAGTTGGTATTGCATCTAATTTGCTAATTTTATTATTGTTGTTGGTTTTATTATTAAATTTATCCGTTAATGAAGGCGATTTTGCAGATTTTACAGACTTTTTTACGGTTGATTTTGGTTCTTTAGCTTCTAACCGTTTCTGTTGCTGCTTTCCTGAATTTGGAAAACTCTTGGAATAACGTGCTAAAGTTGGTGAATTTATTGGCTTTTTAGTTTTTGTTTGAATAGTTCCAGTTTTATGACTACTACTACCACTATTGATATTGTTGCTTTTATTGTTGTTATTAGTATCGATACCATTTCCGGCACTATTATTATTATTAATACGAGATGAATCGTTTGTTTTCAATACTATATTTGGAGGTTTGGCTTTAATTTTCGTTTTTGGTTTCGCGCTAGGAATAGCCCCATCAATATTTTTATTAGTATTATTATTATTGATGATGTTGCTGTTGTTAATATTTGAAGGCGTTGTTGATTTCGACGATGATAACATGGTTGTAGGATTTGGTTTCAAAGTCTTGGATTTGTTTTGCAATAACAAACTTGACCTTGAAGAAGTTTTCGTAGACAATGAAGAAGTATTCGATTTTGTTATGGTAGACATTTTTTTTTTAAAGAAAAAAATATTTTTCAAAAATAAAAAAATTTAAAAATAATAATTAAAAATAATAATTTTTTTTAATGAATAAATGAATATATCATCATTATAAATATAAATTAAATTTCAGTTGTGGAAGTTATACTGCACTAAATTTAATTTATTTCTTCGATGTTTTTATTGACACAAAATACCAATTAAATTCATTTTATATCTCACAAAAATAATAACAAAAACCAAATTAAATAAACTAATAATTATAAAAAAGATTAGTACTGGCGGATAGAAATAATTAATAATTTTTTTATTGTGGTCGAGATTTTCTACTGGTCATTGGCAAGTGAATTATGAAATGAGGAGAGAGTTGAAGAAGAGAAGCACTAATAAAAACAACGAGTATTTTATTTATTTGTATACTTTTTGGAGACATGTTTACTGTAATATAATTCACTATACAAACTTTGACTGTAAATTATTTCGCAGTATCTATTAAAGTTATCTTTTAACGTCGTGATGTTTTTGCATGTTCATGTAATCTCGGAAATTGATATGTATTTTGTTGTTTGAGAAGTGGTAACAGTTCTTTATTAGTATTACTGTTCGAATTACCATCATTTAATTATTTCATTGGAGGATGATGATGTTGTGACAGAGGCAGCTTGATCGTTACAATGAATAGAAATGATCACTATGTTTGGCGTTAATGTTAAAGATAAAACCGATTTTGCAAAGGATACAACGAGTGACTTCTTTTTAACAAAATGATATTCCAAACTCGCTTTGCTATTAAACTTATATTCGCTAATTTATAAGAATCGATCAAGAAAGGCATGACTTCTTTTAAGATAGTAAATAACAGAAGCGTGCAACGAATCACAAATAGACGATAATGCCCAATTGATTTATTATTATTACAAAAATGATTGCTTTGTATTTATTATATTTTACCCATAAGATTTATATAATATTATAGCATAAGAAAATTATAAATGGTCGTTTTTTAAATGATTATCATCATTTATTGTTTATTATTCATTGGGGTGACCTCCGCACTACAAAAATTTTGTCAATGGCGCCATTTTTTATTCATTCATTTAATTTATTTGTTTGGAAAAAATAATGTCTTGCAACACAGTCCAATATATCATAAACTACAAGGGGAAGATATATTGATATTATTCCATGAATCAATAATATGTGTGCTAATATTAACATTAAAAAATAATTTGTTCAGAAATAAATTTTCTAATTATTGAATGCAATTTTAGTCGTTAACAACAACAAATTGTAGCTTCTGTTACTGAAAGTTCACAAGAAGTTCTTTAAAAAGGCTAACTGACCAAATTAGAAAAATAATAATAATGAATTAAGACCAAAGAAAACAAAAGAAGCAAAGAAGATGAAAATGTAAAAAAAAAAAAATTTTTTTAGTTCATTAAAATTAAATTAAATTAAATGACATCATGGACTTATAAATGGAAAACAATAAATTATGTTGTGCATAATAAATTAACCAATCAATTTCGCGCTCCATGATATTTACAACTTGCTCAAATCCAACAATAAACATTTTAAATGAAAAATATTTGCAAACGTATAATTGTTCTAAATCGATCGATACCTTGGTCACAATGCTTTGAAAATTTTGGCTCGATTCAGTTTGATGGTGGAAAAATCTTTTTATCAGTTCCAATTACAAAATATGTTATAGGCAACTTCAACACATCCAAACTTCCTGCTCATAGTAAACACTTGTTTCACAAATGCTTCATACTAAAATCACCACGTACAAAAATCTTTTATATTAATATCCAAAACTCTATTCTTCAGGACCTACCATTTCGACTGATATGGTGAAGACATCTTATGATTGGTTTATGTTTCTTGTTATTTAAAAAAACAATTATTTTTTATTTATTTATTATAGATTGTATATATACATATTTAAAAAACAATAAATCTTTTATAATTAATTTTTCTCAAGAATAAATTCATTATCATCATAAGAAGAATTTTTTTGTTTCAATTTTGAATCATCTGTTTTATTATTACTACTACCACCGACATTATCATCAAAATGATCATATTCTAATTTGACTTGATTTCCAATTTCATCATCTTCATTATTATCAATGCCGTCAATTTCATCATCATCATCATCATCATCGCTATCATTATTGTTAATTTGTTTTTCAAAATAATCGGTTATTTTCATTAATAATAACTTATTTTTTTGTAGAATGAAAGGAGTCGACTCTTTAGTTAAAGCTTTAACAAATTGCGTATTAACAATAAAAACACTAACTCCACCAATTATAAATACATAACTCCAAGGTATTACCCAAGCAACAAGACTCAAAACCATCAGTCCTATTATAACAACACGGGTGATCCTGAGAGTCAAAGCTTCATCACTCCAATCTATATATTTAATTAGTGGCAAAACAGAATCATATCCGTCTGATATCATTCCCATTAAATTTTGTATATTTTGCATATTTTTCAAATAATCTACTGAATTTTCAGCGGCTGGCGATATTAAATTTGGATATTTTAATTTTTTAAATTTTTTGGTTTTTGATTTTTTTGATTTAATAGATTTGTTTTGTAGAGGTGGTGGTCCTTGTGGAAATTTTTTTTGATAAAAATATATTGAAGTAATTAATAATCCTACTAAAGGCAAGATAATTAATAATTGTGGATATAAGCCTAATTATTTATTAAAAAATCAATATTGGTGTTAATTAATAATATTCAACCTTTTTTTTTTTTCATGGAATGAATTCAAACAAAATGAATTTAACAATGACAACAATAATAACTTACAAACATTGATATAAACCACCATTGCTAATAATGTATTCGCAGGATTTTTCCATGTGATAAGATTTTCAACAGAATCTTGAATATCAAAAATAAAACCACACTTTTGCACAAATTTTCTAAAATTGACTGTGGTAGTTTGCAAATTTAGCGGAGGAGGATTACTTGTAGATGATAATGACGAGGATAATGAGGAATCATGTGTTGATTTTGATGCATTCTCAACATTAAGTGCCGAAGAAACTAAAAGATCATGAATTACTTTTGTACTAAAGGTGGTATTATTAGAAGTCATCGTTGTAGGTGATAAAGGTTTTGCAGCTCTAGGAGCAATTGATGAATAATCATTTTTGGTGATGGTGTTAGGAGAATTAACAGATGTTTGTATGTTTGGTAGAGATTGATTTTTTTGAGGTTTTTTAAATTTTGATGTGAACTTAATGCTATTATTATTATTATTATTATTAAGGCTAGAAGGAGAAGAAGAAGTGATAATTCTGGCAAATGAATCAGAAGAAGTGGAACGTCTTGGTGTTTTAAAAGAAGTTACTGATTTCTTTTGATTTATTATATAATTAGCGGGGCTTTCAGGGTCTGTTGTTGTACTGAGCGAAGAAATTTGATTAGGAAGGGGAAGGGAATGACAAATAGTAGCGGGTGATGACTCAGTTGGCATTGTTGATTTTGGTATTTTAATTGGATTGGTTGTTGAATTAATTATTTGAGTATTAGATTTTGTTGAATTAGAATTATTATTATTATCACCACCACTACTATCATTGTTATTATTACTATTGCTGTTATAATTAATGTTGTTTCCTGTCTCGTTAAAACCTTTAATAGAACGACTTGCAGCAAAAGAATCTGGATAGATGTAATTTTTCTTAGATCTACAATTTTCACTTGCAAACGCTTGACACTTGGAGTGAGATATATAGCCACATACTAAATAAATAAATGCATATTAATAAATGCATCAGTAAATAAGAAATATATTTTAAATATATTTACCTTTGCAACTAACTCCTTGTTTTACTAAGCCCCAAAGTAATTTATTGCAATAATCACAATAAGTTGGTTTTGGAAAAGTTGTTTCTTCAAATTGATGTTTTGATGTTTGCATTTTATTATTTTATTTAAAGAAAAAATTATATTTGATTTTTAATACAAATTTAGGTTTTTGCTTTGTAAATCCTTTTCGGAAACGACTCACATGTTTATGCAGCGTTGGTACGACATTAAAAAAAGAAACTAAGAATTTTTTATCATTGTTGTATGGTGCGCGAAGTCTATAACCACCATTTACTGTGCCACACTGCCAAATTTCACCAAAAACTCAAAAACCAAAATTTGAAAATCATTCAAAAAATAATGATTTTTTTTTGACAAAAAATTTATAAAGTCATGTGATTTCTAAAATTTCTTAATTTGTTTTATTATCAACTTTAATTATCAATAACATTGCTTGGAATTTTTCTATGAGATTTGTATCTCTTTACTGCATATAAAGCTTCTATACCTGTCA